CTCCGACACTTCAATACTCGTTGCAAAGACTCAAAAAATGTTCAAAGGTTACGTTGCATTGCATTTTGAGTTCCAACTATTAGATTCGTTAGGTTACGATTACAATTTTATTAAGTTTAATACAAACATCTGAGATATATTATGTTTCTTTGCAAAATTAATGGGTATTATAAGTTTAACTTTATTTGTTTGTTAAATTATTGAATACTAAATATAATATACACTACATAAATTAAAAATATTATATAATATCAAAACGTGTTCTAATGTGTCAAAATTTAACATTTTTTAGAATTAACGTGTCGGAGTGTCGTGTCGTGTCGTATCCTGTGTTCCGTGTCGGTGTCGGTGCAACATAGCTCACAACAGTAAGATAGTAGTCAAACATTATAACTATTATCTCTTATCGTTAAGAAATATTCTCTGCCAATATATATCCATCTTCACTCATTAAAGATGAATCTTGCATATAATACTTCTACGAATGAGACAACAACCAAAGTGCCACATTTTTTACAAAAAATTACCTGAACACCACGCTTTGCAAATTTTTTTTCATCATCCTCATCTAAATTCAATTCATCTACAATAACATATTATATGTAAGTTAATAAATAATATAACATGATCAAATCATCAAATTAAACAATAGAATTATAATCATAAAGAAACATACCAATACTATCTATAATTGGTTCAATGGTATTATTCCTCAAAGATCTTGCCTCTTCATCGGTTAATGATGATGGTGACTCCTCAAAAACCCAACTAGTAGAATGAGCATCCATTGTTTCCAAATTAATTGCGTCATAATTTTGGTGCTTCCTATTTTTTCCAATATTCAACATCAACAAATATAGACATATATTTGTCTAAAAGAAAATAAACAATTAATGTATGTATAATTTTTTTTTTTGGAAACATGTATGTATAAATTATAATACGTTTGTTGTAACCTCTTTTTGCAAACATTTTTATTTTATTTTTTTTAATAAAATGAAGTTGTTTCATGGAATTTTTTTTAAAAAAAAAAAAAGCATGCAATGACCCCTTTTGACCCCTCTGATCCGGGAGTCACTTAAACTCAGCCGGGTTTTAGGGGTCAGATGGGTCGATGTGCATATAGGGTCCAACTTGTGACCCCAACCCTCGGAGGAGAGGTGTTAGGGTTGACCCGGGTCAACACGGGGGTTGGAAAGGAGTTTTAAAACACTGCTAAAAATAATTAATTAATAGTTATAAAATAAATTAAATTAATAAAAATTAAAATAATTAACAAATATAAATTACATTTAATTCATTAACACTCCTTCATTAAATTAAATTACTTACCAGTTCAAAAAAGATTAACATAACTTAAATTAAATTAAATGAAATTAATTAACAATCCTAAAAATAATTAATTAATATTTATAAAATAATTTAAATTAATATAGATTGAATTAAAATAAAATAATTAATTTAAATTATTTTATAACTATTAATTAATTTTATGACACACATAATGTGTTATGCTGCATAACACATTTGCCACGTGTCAGAAAAGATGACTAAACATGCTATGTTGCATAGCATGTTTGATGCCACGTAATCTCGCTGTACTGCGCAGCGGCTTACGTGGCCATACAACTTCTGTCACGTGTCAACACCTATCTCGCTGGTAGGGGTGTAAATAGGGTAGGCTAGGCTAAGTTTTGGCTTAAATAGACTAGCCTTGTGTAAAGACATTAGATTTGGCCTAGCATGTGTAGGCCCCAAATTACAGGTGTGATCTGACCTATGTTTAAAAAATAAAAGCTTTGGCCTAGATCTGTTAGCCTGTTTAAGCCTATTAAACATTCAACAATTAAAAGAATAACAAAATAATATCATTTAAAATTATTAAAATAATAATTTTATTTATTTTATTTAAAATAAATAATATCATATAGGCCGACCTGTAGGTCTATAGGCCCGACATGTACAAAAAAGCCTATGGTCTGTTTTTTAAATAGATTTTTTTGAAAGCCTAGGCCTGTTATATTTTACTATTTGTAATAGGCTAAATTTGGCCTAATATAAGCTAGGCCATAGGTCCCTGTAGGCCAACTTAACCCATTTATACCCCTACTCGCTAGGTGTTGTAGGAAGTTAAGTGATATGACATTTTGAAGAAAAAAATTTACAAAATGTGACATTCAGGTAATTTAAAAAAAAATGTGACCTTTAGTCATTATCCCCCTATAAATTGTTATTCTATATTGAAATAAAGAGCCCTTACACATTTCTCCCCTTCGAGCCATACCGAAGATACACCTACGGTAACTCCTTCAAAAATTTTGGTCCATAGTCCATACTACTATATCTAAGAGCATCCTCATAATTTTTATCCATTAAGACCTAATTCTCTTACATAAACACATCAGTATATATGTGAATTATAGGTGGATCAATAATTTAAGTTAAATATAAAATTTATTATATTTTACGTTGGTATAAGTTGATCATATTATATATCGCATGCGCCGGCCGTTTACTTGTTATTAGGGATTGGCTCCTTCACTGTAATTTTACTTTAAATTTGAATTTTGTGATTATTCTATTTTAAAAATGGAGAAGAATCTTTTATCTCCATAAATAATTTTAAGAAAACATATTTATTCCCCGTACCTCAGACATTATGATAATGTAATGATAATAAGTTAGTAACTCTCTAAACAAAGCACGTGAATACACCTTGGCTACAGCGCCCATTGACTTCAACAATAAGCAGTCATATGAGTACGGTTACATTAAAAAATAGCATGCATCGAAGCTTCTTTCTTTTTTGATAACAAAGCTTGTTTCTCTTTTGTGGCTCAAGGCATGCAAATTTTACTAGTACAACCCCTTCTCTCGAATTTGGGTGAAAAAACACACCGATATATTCATGTGAAAAATTATAATTATATAAAAGTAAGTCAATAATAATAAAAGGAGATAAAAAATATATTAAAATAGATACCTATAAAATTATAATCGTTGATTTATTTTTTTATAATTATGATTTTTTACATTATCACGTCATTTTTTTTATGCGAGAGATTCTATTTCCACTTCTCCCCTAATTAAACTATAAAATAAAAGAATAATTCCAATGCATTAATTAACTGTAGTCCATGACTCCATATTCTATATATAAGCAATTTCTTTTGTGTTTACAAGTTGAGACCTTCGTCCCTTCTTCTAAGATATAATGTCGAGCTTGGGATACGGAAATTTTTTAAATGCTGCAAAGTATTGAATTCGGTATTTTCTTTTATTAAAAATAAAAAAAATTCCATTTTTAAGTTCAATTTTTAAGTTGAGACCTTCGTCCCTTCTCTGATTTATTTTAAGTTCAATTTTTTTTTTCTTTTTTAACTTGTATGTATCTACATCAATTGCACTGAAAATTTTCTCCTGGAATACATGTGGTGCTTGTTTTTATGACATTTGTGTTTAGTACGGCTCTCGTTAGTGGGACAGAATCGAGAAAGCTGCAACATAATTTAATACTATATTCAATGTTTTTACTCATCCACATGACCATGTTGTCCCCAACTCCAAGCCAACGGATACCGTAATTCAATCTCTTAGAGCTAATTAATTATAGTCCGACCAACCGTGTACTGTGTATCATCTAAGTCCCTCTCTTTTATTTATTCTTTTGATGACAGTGAATCATGTGTTTCTCCTTAGAGTAATAATATCTGCAAATATTTTACTCTCACAAGTCGCAAGTGAGTTGTACTTTCTATAAATATAAATAACAACAAAAGTTAAATTAACAATATAAGAAATATTTTCTCTGGAAGAATTTTTTATTTATAACAAATATATGTTTATTATCTACTAAATACAGAGTATAAAAAAGTCACCCTGGAATTAAAGCATATAAAAGTAGAAACGCACGTATGTTTCCTAATGGAAAATTTCTTGGTAGCTGGCACATATTATACTATACCAAAAAAGTAACCAAGTCGGTTTCAGTGGTAATTGGCAAGTTATAACGTAGTAATGGCCACTTATTAATACGACCAAAACAGAAAAGTGCTATAATGTAGTCGATAATTAAGAAGTAATTCAGTGGGTATTCAATTTTTAGTTGATGTTATTCGAGGTAAGTTGAAAGTTTTACAGCTTGCTTACTTCTTTTCAGTCAAAGGAGGACTGATCTGATCCAAAGTGTCTCACCTCACGTGATTGGTATGCCTTCTGTCTACCCACGTGTCGATTTATTATTTGCCTTTTCACTGCTGCTTTTCGTTTATGTTTCGTATCTATATCTCACCTCACCAAAGCGATAACCCAAAAAAATAAAAACAATTTTATTTAATTAAAAAAGAAGAAGAAGAAGCTAAATTAGGGAGATTAACTGGGATTTGAACCGGGTTTAGATCCTATAAAATAGGTTGCGGGGAACCAAAGAAACGGTACTTGTTTTTCTAGTTGAGAGTGTACCTAACCTTGGCCAAACTTTCGTACTCTTTCTTCTGCTAAGTTCTACTCTTTTACTTCCTTTCGGTAAGGAAGTACGGCGATTAACAAACACTTGCTGTGCATAGATTATTTGATTTCGGAAAACATTTACTACTTTTTCTTTTTTTCCGGTGAAGATACTTTATCTTTTCTTTACCTTTCAACTTTCCCGGAAAATTACTACTTTTCCTTTGCCCCACACACACAGAGTCTACATATGCTCTTGTGCTGGGTTCTCATCTGCTGCAAGAGAAATTTCTTATTTCTCTTTGGTTCCACGCATGCACTCTGTTATTCTCTGCTTTTGAACGTAACTTTGCTTGAAGTTTCTCGTTCTTTAAGAACATTTGAACCAATATTTAATCCATATTCATGTTAGATTTCTCTCCCCTTTTTAAGCTTGTCTCTGACCACTGACGTGTTCTCTGCTTTCCTTCCCACCTTCTTTATTTCACCATTTTGGCCTTCAATGTTATCCCCAACGATAACATAAACCTCTCTATATTTATGCTCTTTTGAGTATGGCTGCACCTTCCATCAAGCACACTCACCACCTCAACCGCACCAAACTGGTCACTAGACCAGTCGAAGAATCCCCAATGAAGCATTCGTATCCTAGACTCGTACGAATACGTGTCACCGACGGTGATGCCACGGACTCCTCCAGCGACGACGAAGAAGAAGCCTCCACGCGCCGCCGAGTGAAAAACTTTGTAAACGAGATTACTTTTGACTCCTGCTCCGGCGACAACGAAGGCATTAACGTTGTTTCTAGGAAAAGAAGCAGGGGTAGGACCGTGTCCAGAACTCCCGGCGGCGGCAAAAGAGGAGCTCCGGCGAGTCGGCGAGTGTGCTCCGGCAAGAAATTCCGGGGAGTGAGACAGAGGCCTTGGGGGAAGTGGGCGGCGGAGATAAGGGACCCTTCGCGGCGCGTGCGGTTGTGGTTGGGGACCTACGATACTGCTGAAGAAGCTGCCATTGTGTATGACAACGCCGCCATTCAGCTTCGTGGTGCCGACGCGCTCACCAATTTCATAATGCCGCCGGCGGAGAACATAGACAACGGCGAAGGTTCTCGAAACAACAGCTTGCTTTCTCCGACTTCGGTTCTTCAGTGTTGTTCGTTATCGGAGGAAGTTGAGTCTGTAACCGCCAGAGACGATGTTGTCGATATTCCTACGAGTGAATCTCGCGATGAATGCGAATATTCATGCGTGTCGGGGAATTCCTCTGATGAGTTCAAATCCGAGTCAATGTTTCCTATTCCAAGCGATATGCTATTTGATTTCCAAAGCACGTTTCCCGCACCAGAAAGCATTTTCTTCGCCGATGATTTTCCTGAAATCTTCGTAACTTCTAGCGACAGTTTCGATTTCAGTTTCACAAATTGGCATATGGATGATGATAATTTCAAAGATATTGGGGATTTGTTTGTTTCGGATCCCCTTGTCGCTCTTTGATTGATTCAAACACGATTCTCGTCTTTGTTTTGTCAACAAAAATGGGCAAGTTTTGTATCGGCGGGAAATTAGTTTTTTGTTTTTAGGCCAAAATCAAATGGTTTAATGGTTTATTTTATTTTATTTTATTTTCGTTTTCATTATGGTGGTATTTGTAACGAGAGAAATTCTAATATAATATAAGTTTATTAACTATCATGAGTCATTAGCATTTAGCATCAACGTTGTTCCATCCACCTAATTAACCTAAGCTGTTTATTGTGCGTGCAGTTCATGTGCTCGTGAATTTTTTTAACGTATTTAATTTTTTGTGGAGTTTGTTCGGGCGATATTAATGCTTTCAGCTACACACATCACCCAATATTCAAACGTAGGGAACAATTATAATTTGCTTGGGGATGGTTTTGTTCAGGACTTAGGGTAAAACCAGAATTATCACCGGTTAATTTGTGTTGACAGAGACCGTCCGTTAGTAGACTCATGATTAAAACGAAGAACAAGAATTTTCATTGGGTTCTCAAAAACTCATCATCTCGTCTTGATCTTACGGAAAAGAAAAATGTTAGAGAGTCAAATCCAGAAAGTGAACTCTATCGATTATTTCTGGTACTTTTTTTTTTCCGGTTTTTTCGATGCTTAAAGCAATCAAAAGAAAAGGGCTAGATTTTTTGCCTCTCTCGAACTAAAAGCCAAATTAAACATGACATACTAATAAGCTGCTTTTCCGTTTACATTTTTCTGTTTTGGCCAAATTGAGGCTTGTTCCCATCTTTCCAAGAAAAAAAGCAAAAGAAAAAATCAGACAAGATCTTTAAGATGTCAAGTGGCAGATAAAATCAGCATTGAGGTTGAGCTCGATCTGCGGGGAAAAACTCTTGGCTGGTGAAGAGTGAGAAAATTATTATTTTCTGTATCATCACTAATTTTATACTACCTTATATAGATTATATCTTATACACTTATCATATTGTTAATATTATAATTACAATAATACATATTTAATAAGAAAAAATGTTTATGCTTTTATCGCATAAAAATATTTTCTGTCACATTTATATAAAAGTAAATGGATTCTATTAATATTTTTTTTCTCTTTTCTTTATATCGAAATTCATTTAAATTTATGCCAATGTGACAGAAAAAAAATTATAGTAAAAATAAAAATATTAAATCCTATTTAATAATATAGAAAAAAAAATATTTTACTCTTAACAATTTCTATTACGGAAACATGAAAATGCGTTTTTGAATCTGACTTCTGACAAAAGCAGAGGGGGCAAGTGGCAAGATAAGTAGATATTTTTTCATGGCACTTTCATTAACTTGATGGCAAAGCAGAAATGGATAATAAATACAATACATTTTTCCATGTATTGTATTTATTACACATATTCGATACGATAATATAAGCGTAGACAATTTTTAACTCTAGAAATTGTTATGTTTTACGAGAGAAAAAATTTAAACAGATTTTAAAAATTGTGAACCATTAAGATTTAGAACTGAACTAGATGCAGTTCTTTTTTCACTCGTGAAATCGCGGATTAGCGGTCCTATAAGCTTTCCCTTTCCCATGCTGTTTACCATTTTTTTTTCAAGGAACAAAAAGTAGAGTCAGAGGAGAAAGGACACTACGTATAATTACACTATCTTCTTCTGGACCCAAGAGAAAATAGTATAATTTGTAAAAAATTTTTTTATAAATATAACCTAACTTGTATATCAAATGAAATTTATGGCTTAACGATCAAAATGACACACATAATCTTCTAACTCTACGTACATGTCTTTTCCTGTTTGACGTGTCATATAAAAAGGCTTGGCCCGCATATATATAGTTTAACTTACAAACTGGGATTTTTCGAACTCAGTAAGCCCACTTGGTGCTTAAGGGCCAAGGCAGTGCTTGTCCCCTCCCATCTTATCAAAGCAGATATGGTCCCCACCGTGATATTATACCATTTGCAATTAGGTGTGTTATGTGTCTATGCATTTTTCATGTTTGCATTTAACCCCATTATCGTATCATATATGTGCAATAAATACAATACACAGAACTTTGTTTCAGGAAGGGTACTTCCTTTTGATTGATTAATTAATTTGCTCTTTCAAGCAACACAAAGCTACATCTACCCAGCAACTCATATATAACACCATCGGGAAATGCCAAAACACCTTCCTCATTTGTATTCCACAATTAATAATCGCAAAAAAAAATTAAAATAAATAAAACTTCGCCTTGCGACTAATTCAATCACACCCAGAGGCGAAAGTACGTAACCACTTAGATTCTGTTATGAAATATTTGAAATAAATTTTACGATCCACATAAATTTAGATTGGGATAGAATTCTTTGATATTGATATCAAACTTTGAAATTTGACATCAAATTATAATCGTTGATTTTCGCCAGTCAACGATTATTATTTATTTAGAATTAATGATTAATTAGTGAAAAATTATTTGTCCTTTTAAATGACACAACTTGTGTCATTCCACTCTCACAAAGAAGTGAGACTCACACTTTGTTTTTTTGTCCACTCTCTCCTCCATATTTATCTCTTTTTCTCACTTAAAATAACACTACTTTACATCCTTCAAAATAACACACACTTTTTTCTTAATTAATAAGTTTGATTGACGAAAATTATAACAGTGATTAGCAGAAATCAACGGTTAGAATCTAGTGTCAAATTTTAAAGTTTGACACCGATATCAAAAGATACTACCCTTTTTAGATCATATATTGCTTTTATAACAGACAATAATTTCTTATCTTGCAAACCCATTCATCCAAATCAACATTTTATACTATTAAACAAAGGGATGGATATTGTAATAACCAATTTGTGTTACTACCAATTAATCTCACTGTTAGATCGATTATGTTGATCGAACGGTTATATTTATTTCCATCTTTGTATGGTCACGATTTGTCAAATTTAATACTTTATATTTATTTCTACCTTTGTATGGTTATGGTTTCCCATATTTAATGATTTCACTTTAAATATAGGAAATCATAACCACACAAAGATGAAAATAAATATAACCGTTGGATCAACATAATCGATCTAACGGTGACTCGGTGAGATTGATTGGTAGTAACATGGTAGTAACACAACTTGGTTGTTACAATATCCTTCCCTATTAAACAATGGGAAGGGTGTTATCAAAAAAAAAAAAAAAACAATGGGAAGGGTTATATTTATAAACTTTTTGTTTACAAACTCTTACAAACTACACTATGTTCTCCCGGGAGTACATAGTGTAATTTGTAAAAATTTATAAAAAAAAATTGTAAGCGGATCCTTCCCCTTAAACAATATATCGTTTGTGACATGTTTTATTATACGAAACAATCCTTTTGCACCTAAACCTTACATATATAGAAGGGTAAAATAGTTGATGACTATGGTTTTTTAGTGCTCACAGGTTTTACTAGGGGTGTGTATGGAGCAGTTCATAGCCGGTTTTGACAAAAATCGAATTGAACCAATTTTAAACGGTTTGATTTTCAAACTGAACCAGTTTTCCTTTTTAAAATTAATTTTTTAATTTTTCAAACCGATTTCAAAATCAGTTTAAGGTTCATAACCGGTTTTCAATGAAAACCGATTTTAAACTGGTTTTAATTCAAAACCAGTTTATGGTTCATAGCCGATTTTGATTGAAAACTAATTTTAAACTGGTATTAATTCAAAACCGGTTTTAAATCAAAACCGGTTATAAACTATAATCCGGTTATCAAGTTCAAAACCGGTTTTATAACAAATTTAAAATCCAAAATTTTGAATAATGTACCAGTAAATAATTTTTACAAGAGTTTATACTTAATATTGAAAATATATTTTTTCGTTGTTAACAACAATTCATAAGAGCCAAATCCCAAAGTTAAGTATCTAATAGAAAAGTTATTTAATCGCACAAATTCATAAGAACCAAATCACAAAGTTAAGTATCCAAGATGAATTCCTTCGTCAAAAGGTTTTGTTTAAGCATAACTAATTATATCAATTAGCAAAGTAAATTGATAAATATCTCACAGAGAGAAAACCTTTATTGATATTCCTTGTTTCCAAATTCAAATGCTGTAAATTAAAAAGGAATTTAGATATTAAAAAGGAATATTTACCAGTAAATAATCTTGTAAATTGTAAATAATAAGTATAACTAACAATCGAACATGCAAAAAGTAACCGAGAAATAGAAAAAAGAGAGAGAAGAGATTGGAAAAGGAACCCTACCAATCGGTGCATAGAGAAAACCTTTATTGATATTCCTTGTTTCCAAATTCAAATGCTGTAAATTAAAAAGGAATTTAGATATTAAAAAGGAATATTTACCAGTAAATAATCTTGTAAATTGTAAATAATAAGTATAACTAACAATCGAACATGCAAAAAGTAACCGAGAAATAGAAAAAAGAGAGAGAAGAGATTGGAAAAGGAACCCTACCAATCGGTGCATAGAGAAACGTTGAAGCAAAGTAGAGCAGTTTGGTTATGGATAACCAATGATTTTTATGGTTTGGTAAATAACTAGTTTATAAAATAAAATACAGTTTTGTATGAAACCAATTTTTTAAAAAAACCAATTTTTTAATTGTGGAGCAGTTTGATTATGGATTGGTTTGGTTCTTTTGGACATTTTTAATATATTCCAATAACCTTGCTTGACTGCCAAAAATATTTTCAAACCTAGGTGCGAGAGTTTATGCATTTCTTAAAAATGAATATACTCTCTCACTAAAATAAGTAAAAAAAAGGATCCATTTCAGAGTTTCATCAATGATATTCAGTTAATAAAAAATAATGGAAATTTGACAACAAATTGACACAATAATAGCATAATAAAAAAAGACATGACAAACCATCAGACCTCTTTCAAGAACGTTCTTGTAGCCATCGATTATGGCTTGTGCTGTTGTGCTTCCTTTTTAGTTGCCTTCTCTTGCAATTGCAGGTTGAACAATTTTCACAAGTTTCCATTGAGATTTTGTGGCTTGCATTCCTCTTCAGTTGCTTCTTCTTCATGCATGTCAGTACCCACTCAAACACACTTCGTTATTTTTAAGGCAAATAATCTGATAAAATTTTTAAAATGCCATTTTATATTATAATTTTTTCCTTCAAATTTTAGGGGGCGGTGGCCAACCTTAGCCAGTTAGCCCCCTATAATTCTGCCTCTGCCACTACCTATATAACTTCTCAATATTGGACTAAGTAAAATAATAATTAATTTGTAACATTTCCTTCCTTTTAGAAATTATTCTTGTCCTCAAGAGTTAGATCACATAATTGTATCTTTTTTCAAATTCATGTTCGCATCTCCATCGCTTCCCTCCATCATGGCATAGATTAAGAACTTCTTACATCCTTGGTTGAGAGCATAAGTCTCAATGTAGTGGAAACTTGATCCCTTTTGCCTTTGATTTTCTTTGAATACCAATCGGCGAATCTAATGTGGAGTATCCCAATTCGGGTTCAAGTAAAAATGGTTCATAAGATTGCATAATAAAGAGTTGGAAGACAATAATTTAGGTTTTTTGAGTGGAAGATAATTGAGTGGGAGAGAAGTTTTCTTGTTTGGTGGAGAGAGAAAGAGAGAAATGTTTGAATGTGGAAGTCATTGAAAACTTAGGAATGAAATAGGTGTGAGGTTGTGGTTTGGTGCATGGTACGAGAAGATCTAACCTATTTTAGAGTTGGATGGACATATTCTTCAATTGAATGGATAGTACTTGAACTACGTCTTCTAATTTTTTTAACCGTTTATTTATACCTGATGCGTGTCTATGATACGAAGTCGTTACATACATAGGATGGTAAGGTAATTTTATTGAAGAAGCTTGATCTTTTATATATAATACTTTTTCAAGAAATTCATTTGATGATTTTAATCTATAGAATGATAATTTAAATAGACAAAGGGTGAGAAATATCAACGTGAACCCATAGTTGCTCACTTGCTCTAACATCCTAGGCTACTACCACTAATAATCAAAATAATTACCATATATTAGACTAAGTAAAATTATAATAAAATAATAATAATTAATTCGTAACACTAAACTTCCCTTTTAAAAAAACAATGATTGCATTCCTATTTACATATACATACCATTCATTTTGTTCACAAAGTACAATTAATCCATGTATACCTTTTCCGCAAGCAAATTGGGACTCTTTTCAAGTACCTTGCAGTTGCAGGTAGGAGTAAGCAAAAGTTTCAAATAAATTGAACCAAATAAAAAATCAAACCAATTGAATTCATAAAAATTGAATTTTTAAAATTATTTTATTTAGTTGAATATGACAGTGGATAAAGAAAAATTATGAAAATGAAGGCAAGTCTCGCCTCGTTGGCACTAGTATTTATGACGACTTATTCGCTCATGAATTTTTTAAATTTTTTCGTTTTGTTTCATATTTATATTCTTAACTTTTTAAATGAATAATTAATTATTGCTATTTTTAAAAGAATAAATATTTTATTTGAAATATGGGACATCTTTCTATATATAATAAGGTATTTTATTATTTTTGAATATTAAAATTATAAATGTTGTATTATATATAACAGTTGTTGTGACATTAGCTCTTAATTTCCAAGTTCAACAAATCTGCAAAATAAAACTCAAAACCTTATTAATTATTTGTTCCATTTCTTGATCCAAAACTGAACCAGTTTAGATTTTGAATTAGTTTAAGTGAAAAAAGTATCTAATGTTACTTTAGATAACTTTATCTAATGTTCATCAAAACGACGTCGTTTTGAAGTTAAAAAATTAGAATGATAAAGACTATTATAACCCTGAAATAAATTAAAATTATTAAAATATCATAATTTCCGTCCTAAAACAACGTCGTTTCGGTGAACATTAGATAAAATTATCTAAAGTAATTTTAGAAAACACAAACCCTTAATTTAATTGTTTTGAATTTGTTGAAATCGGTTTTGAATTGGCTATATCTCTCATTAGCTACGACATATGGAAAAAAAAACTGTTACTTTTCTGATCTTTAGCTATACAATTTATTGACGAATGAGTACCATAAGGGCAATTCAGATTTCAGAACATACAATATGGACAAATTCAAAATATACACACGGGAAACAATTTAAAATATACAGAACACAAACCCACCTATATGTATAGATATATCTATACAGTTCATGGGCCATCGCTGTTGTAGGCTGCAGACTTGGACAAATTAATGACATAGACTGGTCAATTAATGCGAGGGGGGTTTTCCCTCAGGAACGTTAACCCAAAGCTTTTGGCCTGCCTCGCAATGCTTGCCCACGGAACTGAAGAAATAATAGTCCCCTGGCTTCTCCAAAGTAACAGTCGAATTCCCTTTGAAGTATGTGTACATCGTATTTTTTGAAGTGCAATTATCGTAGTCCTCCTTGTTCACCTGAACCACGGTGTTGAGCCCAGGGTTGTACTGAAAAACTGCATTTTTTTTATATACTTCATTACTTAGCAAATTATGAAACCAATTTAACATAGCTATAAACAATGGCTTTTCCTGTGGTTGCTTAATATATTTTATTTTTTAAGGGTTTATTGTTCTCATGTTGTAGGAGATAAAATTATTTTCTACACATAATGTACCATTGAGAGCTGCAAGCCCAAAGTGTTGCTGCTGACCGAGATATAGACCAAGTTAAACGGTGACGTCCCAAGTATGAGGTCAAGATGAGGGGTGTGAATGGCAGAGTAACGACACATAAAATGCACTTTTGCTTGGTGATGGAAGGGTATTTATAGGGGAGAAGATGCCCTACTCGCATGGGGGGTGGGGGAGTCAGGTCAACTCTCCTTGGGGAGGGCGATGGGCGTCTGTTACCGATGCTGTGGCAACATGGGAGGCTACATGAAGAAGGTAGTATTCCAAGGCAAGACATTTTGATGTCTCAGCCTCGGGAACATTATCCTATATATGGGGACAGAAAGGGTGGAGGGTTGGTAACTCTTGTTCAGCAGGACTGACATGGATGAGTGAGAGGGATTTGGGCCTATCTTAATGGACCGACCGGTTGGGGCCATCCGGAACACATACATAAAAGTATACGAAATTCATTTTTTTTTCTCTTTTTTCTTTCACATGAGCCTTCGTACACTTTTATGTATATGTAAGAGATAATTTTATCTCCTATAAACACTAAACTCATTTTTTAAATGGAAAAAGTTATACTTACTAGAATTTTAATGTTAATATTGTTATTACCTAATTAATTACCATTGGATCAATTTAAAATCAACAGCAGCTAATCTTTTTTATTTTTTAACTATTGATTTCAAATTCAATCAGGTAAGTAAGACTAAATTGGTACTAAGTATAATTGCCCCTTTTTAAATTAAACAAACATTGTGACCGAATTAAATCAAAACCAATGTATCAAAGAAAAAGCAGCAAGCAAGTAAAGGAGGTAGGAGAATTCAAGAGATAACACATACGAAGTACGTCGCCAACAGCGAAGGTTTTGTTCTTGGCCCAGTCCGCGAAGAACCCTTGGTGTGGGGGCAAATTCCAACCCAAATTGTCTCCGACAATGTGAGTTGTAGTTGAACTCACAGAATCCAATGTAATGCAGCCAATCATGGCAAAGACGAAGAAACTCAAGTGCATTTTCTCGGCCATTTTTATTCCTTAACTCGTGTTTGTGTTGCTTTATTCATTAACTTGTGATGAGGGCTGGTTGAACCAAAAGGTGGGATTGAATTGAGGGTACCCTTTTAATAGTGCTCACTAAAATTAGTGTTACCTTTCCAGCTTTGTGCGTTTATTAGGAGACTCTTTTTTTCTTCTTGACCAAGTCAAATTTTTGCTTAGAAATGAGAACGGCTCAGTTCCAAGTTTCAAAATGAGGATGGTACCTATATTCTGTAAGGATTAAAGGGATGGGAGTGTTTTCAGTGCCACTTCTATCCAAACACACACACACACACACACACACACAAAAAAATAGGTTTTTTTTTTTTTGGGGGGGTCATTGTATCACTTTTTTTTATGCGCGGACATAAAAAAAAAATGAGACTCACCTATTCTTAAAAAGAAAAAAATTAGGATCTGCCAGCGTATCCTTATTAATATATGTATCATATTTTAGTAGTCTTACCCAGATTTACATTGGTGAACTCAAGTAATGACTCAACTCAATTGTCTTATTAAATTGAATCCTAATTTGATACTTACAAATATGATTTGGGAGAAGATAATTTCATATGGAATAATATAATTTAAAACTTAATTACTTTCAACATTATAATAAGGGTTTAGTGTTTGTCATTTTAAATGACATAAGTTATGTTATTTTAGGAGAGAGATAGACACAGAAAAACGGAAATCATGGGAGAGAGAAAGTGAGTGTTTTTTTTAATTTAAAATTCAAATTTTCTGTGTCTGTATCTCTCTTAAAATGACATAATTTTCTGTCATTTAAAATGACAAACACTTTTTCTTTATAATAAATAAATTTAAAAAAAAATGTAAACAAATTAAAAATATTGACAAATAATAATAAAACGTGACGCTTACGTTTTTTCGGAGAACACAGTATTAAAAAGTTGAGTAAGAGAATATGTGGTAAGAAACCGCAGGAGCACACAGGAGTAATATACTAATAAATGAAGAAATAACGGTGGTTTAACGAAAATGGTACACAAAAACCCAATTTGCCGCCTTATGAAGGGTTTTAATTGAAGTTTTACATTTTACCCTAAAACCCTAAAAATCGAGCATAGCATAGCACAGCATGGATGAAGGTGGAGCGAAACCCGTGTGTGCACGAGAAGCCCTCGATCTGCTGAATTGCGTAACTGAATCTCCGTTTGAGCAAGACAAATGCCTCCACCTTTTGCATTCATTGCGCGAGTGCGTGCTCGCCAAGGTACCCCCTCTTTCCCCTAACCATATGTTTTCCTCTCTATAATATATTTTATGTCCCTTTGGTTTAATTTGCGATTGTTGATGATTAAGAGCTCCCGAATCTCTCAGTCAACTGGTCATATAAGAGCTAGTTTTGAGTCTTACGAAAATCTGTTAAGGAAATTTCTTAAGCATTGAATCAATTCTTTTATATTCGATAAGCGATTATGGTAGCCCTTGACCACAAGATTACATGCTGGAAAAAATCAAAAATTGAGTTTTTATTATAACATCAAGTACTTTTTGGCACTTTGTCTAAATAAATATTACCACATGTTGAGCTCCGGGAAATACTCTTTTTTTTTTTCCTTTTCCTCTTTATACTCAACTAATTTGGGATAAAGGTGATGTTAATGCTGATGTTTTTCCTCTTTATAATTCACAAGGTTCTGTTGTAGTGGATGTTCTGTTTGGATGAAAAGAATAAGGGAGTTTTTGGTGAGAATGTTGAAGGGCATAGATATTCACCAGTACTTGGCTGCTGACTACAATGAATCTGGATAGGGTTATGTTTCCTCCAAAGTAGTTCCTTATCAATTTTTACTTTGTTATGTGTGTGAGGGTTAGTTCATTTAAGCTTTTAATAAAAACTTCGATATATGTTTGTTGAATGGATGCCTGACATCCTTTAGGACAAGAGTCATTTCATTCGTATACTCTCTCAATTATTTCCTTGCTGCCTGCTTTTTGTCTTTATGAAGTCCCATAATTGCATCTAAGCTCAAAATGCAATTCAAGACATTTTCTCTTGCCTGCATACCATCCACATTTGCTCATTGTAATTCTATGTTGGTTTTTCCCAATAATGTTTTCTCAATGTCGATGAGGGAAGTAAATTTCAATGGTTTTCTATGTAGAGAAAACTTCTAAGGAGCTGGTGAACTTGTGTAAAGAGCAGGGGATAACGAGTTTCTTTTTTTTATCTTTTTATTTTATTCCTTTGCCGTGTGGCTTTTAATTATCTTTCATTTAGAGAATGGAAGTTTATATAAGTACTGGATTTTCCTTTTTTCACATCAGCCTTCTATTATAAAGCTAGGTGATCACAACAACAGAATATGAAAGCAGTACAGTTATGGCATTATGTGAGTTGCACTTGATCTGGCATTTCAAACATGATATGAAACACCTTAATCAGAATGCATATTTGGTGGTGTTTTCCTCACCGGATGCAACATAATTATGCACGTCATAGTTGATTGTTTATGGCTTTGCCTTTATCTTCTGACTTAATTACTGGTTACTGGATATATTTGAGTTTATGCATACAGATGTTCAAACATAGTTGTGCCTTTTTTGTGCTTTCATTAAGTTGGTTTAATTTTCTGCCTCAACAGAAAGTGAAAAAGTTTTCCCTAGCTGGACAGGAACAACAGGAAACTAAATCGAGTAGCAAGAAGGCTTAATTATGCATTGGTATCACTGCTTCCCAAGTCTCTTCTAATTCAAGTTTCGTGGACCATCCCCTCCCATTACTCTCATCCATTTTGACCAATTTTTCTCTGTTTTGATGTGCAGAAGCTGTTCACTTTCAAATATGAATTTCATATATCCACAAATAATTCTGATTTTGACAATTTTTTGATAATTCTGTTCCCTGGCATCCTTCATCAATGGATGTTATGCTAGTTGTTTGCGTTCTTACACACGTTAAATCATAGTTGGTGACCTGGGGCTAATATAGCCAAAGGTTTGCAGTTACCTTGTTCAGCTTAAACATTCAGAACCCTTTTCGAAGATGGTATGGAATTTGTGATCCGTAACAATACATGTGTTTCTAGTTAAACTATGAATGGAACCTTTAGCATTATAACGGATAGAAATCTGGCTTTAAATGATAATTGGATCGTTATGGGAGAAGAAAAAACATTCATGTTTGCCTGATGATATGTCATTTTCCTCGACTGATGGTTAATTGATCATTATAGTCAACTTTCTTTCTTTTTTGGGAATGATCGTATAGTTAACATCATTCAGAATTTCAGAGTTGCAAAATATCCCCGATTCTTCCAAGAGGAAACATTTACACACGTCTCACGTTGTAACCATAAAAAAAAAAAAATAATAATAAAAAAAAATCCCACTTTTTACGATGCAACAGTTCATGCCTAATTGTTAATCAATATAGCGATACGCTCATAAAGCCGAAAACAAGATAATCATTATATTGCTAAGAGAAAAAATATTGACAAGAATATTTAAGTTTGTCACTTAAATGAATGTGACATTGGTACCAACCACAACTACACAACCACTAGCCGATATATGGCACGAACAAACATAACACCACCTATAAATCATACATCAGTTTCATACCAATATTACACCAACATCTTAATCATAACAACAAACATAATACCCTCTGGCTAGCACGCATATGCCATTTTGCTTGAAATTCAGAAGCTGGAGGAAATGTCTGCAGAGTGGACGAGGTACGTGAGTACCAGCGCCAACAACATCAGCACATACGCTATGCCTTGATCAACAGACGACCCTGAATAATAAAGAATTATTATTATTAGTAAATATTCGTATATTGAATTTATATTACTTAATCTTCGATGTGATAATCCTTGCAGTTTTTTATTTTTATTTTTTTTTTAAGAAAAAGGAAATATCGAATTAGAACTAGATATATCCAGATCCGTCAAATTGAATCTGGGATGTGCAAGTTGATCTTTAGATCTGGGAAGAAAAACATGGAGGAATAGTTAAATAGTAAATACCGTCGCTGGTAGGGGCAGGTGCAGGGGCTGGAGTTTGAGCATGAACAGCAGCGGGCACGGAAAGAGCAAATATGAGAGTGGCAAGCATGGCCACAACTCCGAATCCGAATGAATTTTTGGGATACGCCATATCTAAAACTATAACTGTTAAGGCCTAAATTGATTGATTCTATTTCTCTCTGCAGCGTCTCTCTCTCTCTCTCTCGTGGCAGAAGAGGCGTGCAGAGAGAGAGAAGCGAAGGTTCAAAACTCAGAGGAAGGAACGAATGAACGAATGCGCGTATGCTGAGGTGAGGGACGGCGGAGAGAGGTTTAAAAGGTGGTTACAGTTGTCAGTTGGCGCTGTGCGTGGGAGAGAGAAAGGAGGAGAGAGGTAACCGGTGAAGCCGGTTAACAAAATGCCAATTTGATGTGGGAATGGGGTCCATTGTCCCGCCGTATGTTTCGGTAACCCATGTGATTGCCCACTGGTTTTCAATCTGGATTCCCATTTCCCAATCAGACTGCCACGCCATTTCTTTTGGCACCATATGCTGCCCCACCACTATCCCCATTCATGAGTTTTTGTTCCTATGAGCTCGAGTTCATTCTAGTTATCATGTGCGCTACTCTACTATAATTGTTATTTAATACAGATTATTATAAAATTTCTGCGTTGCACTTAAAATTCAATATAAAATCCAAGTCATTAGCCTCACGTCTAGAACAATCTTGCGCAAAATGGCAGCAATGGGAGGCCATTTATATAGAGACAAAACATTAACATCGTCAGACTGTAATAACACTTTAATTAATGTACACAACTATCGGGGAATATTACAATAGAAACTTTCGAGGTGTTAACAACCTGCTTCATGTTTTACGTTACAAAGCATCTATTAATACAAACAAGCTCACAATTGCTAGTCCTTTTATAATGCAAAATTTTTCAAAAGGACTGCAACACAATTTACGTTGGCTCAGACATGCACTTTACAGATATATGCCGGGTATATTCTTGGACTAAGTAAGAAACTCCTGCCACGTACGTCCATTCTGAATTGTTAGTTTTTTTTTTTTTTTTCACACTGAGTCTGCTTCCCTGATTTCAAATTGATGGTCCAGACTTTATATAACAGGCCTTTTCTACAAATGACGACTTGAAATTCTGGTTTAAAGCCTAAGCTTCTCCATCATGTTGAATCCAACCTTCAAATTAGAAGATCTGGATTTCAATTTTGAATCTGTTTCTCCATCCAATTACGGCTGAAACCCAATCCTTTCTACATCAAAATAAGAGCCAGAGCTCAAGTTGTAAAAAGAATTTTAGATACACTCGGAGCAAATTGATGGGATTGACCTGAGTGGCAAGGGTAAAACTGCAGGATTGCACAAACTCTAACAGAGTCGTCATCAAGGGCTAACTTTATCTCAAACCATCTGTAAAACTTTTATACATCCACTTGAATTGGCCGCAATAATCATGTCTGATTTCCCTCTCCAGCAAACACTTGAAACAAACTGGCCATTGTCATCATCAGTCTCTTTACCAGAAATGGGATCAGTGGACCCAAACTTGTGCGAAGTGACTGGCATGGGAAGAGATCTGTAGTAGGCATAAACCTGCAAGATAATATAGGTATCATGCCAAAGGAAAAGCACATAGATGTAATATAAACTTATAAATAAAACTCCGGACTGCTCTCTTCCCTATCTATGTCATAATCATCCTTGAAAGATTTTCAGTATTATATATTATGGTATTGCAGCTTCGCAAATCACAGATATCATAACACAATTTGTGCATATACAAGTCATAATAGTGTGTGTGTGTGTGTGTATACTCTCATTTCAGAGAGGCTTGTGAATATTTACAATATTACACCATAAGTGCAATCAAAATAACCTAAATGGCTAAATCACTAATTGAATTAGCATTTTTGTATTTGGCAAGTTAAAGCCAATCAAACAAATGTTATATTATAATGGAAAGTAATATATACCTCATTTGTTTCTGAACCACATGCAATATATCCATCAGCAACTGATAAACCCACAAAATTCTGTCAAAGCACGAGGTGGAAGATTTCAGCTAACTAAATTAAGTAAACATAAACATAAATGGGTCGGCATAATGACAAAAACAGGTCAAATTTCTAACAGACGGCCTTAGGAGTTGCTCAACACAGCAGTTAACAAAATAATTTCGGGCAAAGTCAATTTGGAGTTTGTAAGTTTGTTTTCACTACCCAGACCACCAATCAAATTCTGATGCTCCATCTAACACTCAAAAAAGTGTAGATCTTTTCTTTTCTTTTTTAAAAAAAATAGAAGGCTGTCACAAAAGACCATTAAAGATTCCACAAACAAATTCTGATCAATGCTATACAACTTGAAATCAAACCTTCTCATTAGTATGTCCTGACAGGGTTAAGCTGCAAGCACTAGAAGATGGACCCACAGGAGAGGTTTTGTTGAGATCCCAGATCTTTAATGTATTATCGGTTGATGCAGAAACAAGTGTTTCAGAGTCCAAGAATTTGACATAGCTTACAGCTTTACGATGGCCAGCCAAAACACACCAGGGGCTTCTAAGATTGCGTAGATCATAACAATAAGTTGAGTAATCCGCAGATCCAAAGGCCAGCAAATGAGAGGAATGAGAAGAGAACTGAACGCAGCAGACATTAGCAACATTCTTGATTGTTCCTAAACAGTTTCTCTGCAAAATAATTTTTCATTTTATTAGCTCTTGATCAATAATAAACTATCATATATTTTTTTGCTGTAGCTAGAGCTAAAGTAAAGTGACAATGTGATAGAAAACCTGTCTTTACAATCTAGAAAGTCATGACCATTTGTATCAGTCTACCTGGCTCATAGACAAGATGGTTTCTACTGGCACATTATAATTTTGCAAAAGAAAGCTCAAATATTTAACCAGGTGGTTTTCACCATATTATTGGAAATACAAAATCTGAACCTTTCTACATTCAATATCTTCCTGATTTTGAGGGACAAAATTTGTAAATCATGATTATGATGCTTATGAAAAGTTACTACCAAACTTTTGATTTTATTATTCAGATACATAGATGCTATTAACAACTCGAGAGAAAGACAGAAAGCAACAATCAATTACACTGTAACCCCAGTTTCTTATTATTGATTTTCAGTCAAGCAAATTCTGCACATCCATAGTGTAAGCATGTATGTGTGTGCTAAAGAGCTTACCTCACTGATACTCCACAGCTTCACAGAACAATCATCACTACCACTGGCAAATTTTGTAGGGCATAACCGAGAGAAATCAACAGACCAAGCCCTCTTTTCATGTTCGGTGAATTGAGAAAACCCTTGACCTGTACTAGCATCCCATAGCTGAAAATGCATCCAAAGGCAAAGCTATGAATAATGGCGGAAATCAGAGCATACCAATCATCATGCAATGGTTGTGTTTTTTAGACTAAAACACAAATTTTCAAAGGATTTCTTTCTTTTCAGGTGTGTGTGTTTTGCGGGGGGATAGTATTGATGTTATTGTGCTCACAACCTCACTATTTTGATATTAAATAATCATAGAATCATATATGGGTAGACATGATGCATTTTCAGTTAGTGAACAAGACCAGTAAGAGTATCCAGTTGATTTGACAAACTCTACATGATAGGACCCAATGTATCATAACATACTCATGTTCAGTACAATTTTCTATGCTTCCTAGAGTACTACTTTAAAGAGGTAAAAAGACCGACCCACCCTTGAACCAAAAATAAAACCACCCCGGCTAGACATGGACATCCCTAAAATCTTCATGTTGAAAAATAATCTTAAGTGCAACTTAGATAATCATGTAAACAAATTGGCAAAGCCAAGGTACTAAAATTTACTAATCAGCTCATTCAAACTTGGCTGCCAATCTGGATAAAATTAGAGGTGTTTTCTCCACTAAGGGCTAGTTTGATATATTCTTAATAATGGGAGTGAAAAATTACGGGAGTGTTTGGTTTGTATTTTCTTTTCTTTTTCAATTAATATGTTTTCACTATAGCACCTTGTTTCCTATTATCAATAATTTGCAAAGGACATGGTGAAAACAACAAAAATCTTGTTTTCACCATTTCCTTTGCAAATTATTGAAAACAAAAAACAAGGTGGCCTTTTTGTAATTATTAGTGAAAACATATCAACTGAAAATGAAAACAAAAAACAAATCAAACGTACCCTAAGTGATGAGCTTTCAATACAATTTTTCTTATAAATTTCATTCCTGATGTTTCACCCCCATTTTTAAGGGTATAACAAACTCACCCTTAGGGGCAGTTTTAGCCCAATAGACGAGGGGAAATTTTAGTAGACCCTCCAAGGTATACCATTACATTTTGAGTCAGAATCGCATATTCCACAAAACTAACTGATGGATAATGCAAAGAATGTCTGCCAATGATACAAGCAATAATTACAATGGTGTCTCATGTGCAAGCCATACAAACCTTAACTATACCATCATAGTCTGTAGTGGCAAGATAGTTCTTAATGTAGTTATTCCAGCAAACACAACTGAGCCTTGATCTGTTTGACATCTCAACTACAGGATAATGGATATTAACAGAGTCATTGAGAAGTGCATTAAACTCGAAAATTTTTATTTTCTTTGATATCCCAGCAGCAGCAAAGTAGTCTTCATCCCTATCAAAACCCAGAGAACAGATTACATTTGCAGCAGGATTGTTAAAATCAGCATTTCTTAGTACACCCCGCACTTCAAACTTGCTATAACGTGCATACTTGCACAAACCATCAAAGAAGGCTCCTAAAGTATCTGTCATTTCACGTTGTTCCTTGTCTTTTTGGGCCACATACCAGTTCTCACAATTTCTCAGTATATCTTTATCTGGGTGAGTTGCAGCATCTGTTTCAGGAAGCTTAATTTTGGATCTCATGGAAAAGTAAGCATTTTCAAGCTGGCATATGTTTCTGGTCAATCGCAGTTCATTTGCATTAGAAATTGTGGATATTGGCAGTAATGTTTCTGAACTTGAAGGTTCTTCATTAATAGACGCACTCTCTATTTGACAAGAGGAATCATTCTGCAAGCTATAGGAAACCAAGGATTTTCTTAAGTCATGTCTCCTCTCCACCTCCTGTATATCTGATTCCAAGCATTGGATTTCTTCTACCAATTTGTAGGCATCTTTGTGCTTCTGCTCTTTTAGTGGGTTGAGGAAATGCAATAACAATTCTGATTCTGCATCATCTTGGTCAAGACTTGATAATAATTCCTCACTATATACCTCCTGCATTCCATTAATCACTTCAGACTGTAGGATCTCCCTGTTAAGCAAAATAAGTTATAACTTTAAGAAATCATAATAGAATGTGATAGACATAGAACTTGAACTGACAAGAGAATGGAGGAAATCCTCCTTACAGAAACAGAAAATAATGGAGGAAACCTCCTTACAAGACCAGAAAAATTGATCTAGAACATAAACAGAAAGATCAGAAAAATCTGAGCCCAAGGTGACCTTCCTCTTAATACTCAATTTCCATGCCTCCTCCCTTCTCTCTCCCCCTTATTCTCCCATCTTATCCCCTATTCCTTGCATGTATACAGAGTCTTCTTATCCCCTCTCCTTTCCCTCCTCACTAACTGCCTGTTCTTTTGGCATGACCTCTCTGAACAGTTTTCTCCCAGCCTTTCTCTATTATACACCCATGTTATTGGGGGCCTATCAGTGTAGAACTTATACTTGAGGTCTATAATTCAAGGACTAGTAGAATGTTTAATTGAAACTTTTCTAAATCTGTATTTAAGGACGGAAAGCGAAGAATATTAAATTTCAAAATTCACTAAACCATCAGATCAATATGCTATATTTTTTAGAACAGATCCACTTGAAATACACAGAGATATATATATATATATATATAGAGAGAGAGAGAGAGAGACACCCATTTTTATAGTCAGTAGTAAGTAACATCAAATAAAGAAGTTTGACATCTCTGAGAACAAAAAATTCAACTCTATCCGCAATAGCTTTCCAGAAGTACACTTTTTTTTACAAATAATAATAATGATAAGATAAAAGAAATGTTATCTCATAAGAGATTGATTTATCTCAATTAGCTATATTTCAAATAAGAGATTGTCAATTAGTTTATCTCAATCAATAGATATATTTCAAATTATGTGATTGGCATGAATTAAGGATAGCCATCAATTTGATTCAATCAATAAGCAGGAAGAATATGTGTACTCGGCTATAAAATTCAACTGATTACTGGAAAAACAAGCAATTACAACCTTCTTCCTATTTTTTTCTATTTTTATTTCCTTCTTCCTTCTCTTCTCTCTTTCTCCTCTACAATACACAATTATGCACTTATAAACAGATGATGGCAAAATGTTTATGGGATGGAGGAAGTATGAATTCTATTATCATTAATAGTAGGATGGTGCCAGAATGAAAAAAGTACCCAGAAAAATATAATAGAAGTGTTTCTGATTAATACAAGAGATGATTGATGAACCCAATGATGATACTGACTCAGAAAAGTTTGAGAACTCTTGGAAGGAGTATGGCAAGTGGACAGTTGCCTAGTTAATTTTTGCCGACTCAACTGGAATATATGTGAGCTCACAGTGGGAAATAACACCCCCCCCCCCCCTCCCCTCCCCCTCTCCCCTTTCTTTGCATCTAGAAGTGAAATTTGTTGACTCCGTTTTTAGTAAAATGAGTCCCTTAAAAAATATATATGCATATATGAACAGTAGAATTCAAACTGCGAACACATAGCTCTTTGAACATCATCCCAGAGGATATGCCATGATTTCATTATACATTCTTCCGCATTTATAACATTTATCAAAGAAACAAATGAGATCTCTATAACAGATGTTTGTGAAATCATTTTTACATATATTAAATTTAAATTGAAGTGAATCTGATAACTATGATACACAGGATTTCAGCATTACCTTATTGTCGGACGTGATGATGCTTCAGGATGCAGCATCCAAAGACAAAATCCAGCCTCCTTAGGATTTTCTGATAGGAAAACTGAAGGAAGAATCCTATGACGAAGATCAGACATTGCTGAAATATGCGCTCTTTCTGAGTTGAAATGGCTAAGTAACTGAAAGAAATGACCTAAATATAATCAGTAAGAATTAATTGAGAATTAGTATTTAATGAAAAAATATAAAATAGGTCTTTCAAAACATATAATGGATTAAGTTTCTTTCAATTATAACAAACATTTAATTTTCTTGATTGGAAAGATTTGAGGTAAACACCAATACTCCCGGTGTAGTTATGAAAAAAAAAAAAGAGAGAGAGAGGGGTGTCCTATTTTATTATCTAGCTAACTCAAGATTCCGCATCCAGTTCAAACCATGACAAAACATTATAAAGATATCCAGATTTTATTATGGGAAAGCTTATTCACAAAAATGATAGCTGACACAGATGAGGGGGCAAGATTTATGTATGATTGAGAAATGGACAATACAAATATGGAATATAGATGTATCACAATAAAAACTATTATAGTTGCTTTACTTAAGTCCACACAAAACATAACCAATTTTATCTAGCAAACCTCTAATTTTGACCAATGAATAAAAAATATTTCCAAAGTTCATTCAATCCACTTCAAATGTTCAAAAGACAGTTTGAAATCAGCCAAAGAAACAGTAAATTAAAGATTGATTTTCTCAGTATTTATTTAATTTTGAAGATGCCAAAGAAGCATGTTTGACACTAAATATACTAAACAAACATAAGTAATCTCTTCCAGAAGTTATTTCAAGTTGGAATCAGATTAAAATATTCAATGAACTTCAGATCCAGAAACATCTCTCTGTTCTTTTAGAGGAAGGTTAGAGAGTGAGATACTGCTTTTAAATCCCATTGCAAAGATGTGTATAAGCTAACTGTTAAAACAGGAAAACATGAAAACCCTAAAGACCAATTATCAATTTTATAAGTTTCATCATCAACTCTAATGCTAATTGGGCCCCAACATACGGACAGAAGCATGTTTCCAACATATGTACATCATATTCAAAAACACATCCATTTTGAGGAATCAACAATATAACAGAGCGCATGAACATTGCATTTAATTAATTTCTAGGCTACACACCTCAAAAAAGAGGACTCCCAGACAGTAGATATTTGATGATGTAGTGCAACCTCCCTCTGGACTTGTATACCACTTATCTTCCAATCTTTCATTTAAAGAAGCCAACGGCAATTGACCTGCATTAGATATGTGAGGGATGCTAGACATTCTCCAATTATTATGCTTAGAAAATTGGATATCTTCCTTATATTCATTGCAATAATCTTGTGATCCAAATGCATTAACCTTGATATCATTAGCAATTTGAAGATGCAAGTCAGACCTCAGAGGGCACTGACTCCAATCACGGACAACTCTCACATTCTCATTAAATTTTTGTTTCTTCGACCGCATATCAAGAGAGGGAGATATTACATGCTCTGACTGCCCTTTTCTATTAAAAGAATTCTTTAACTGAAGAACTTCAGAATTCGCAACACTATCTAATGTCTGTTTCTGAATTGGCAACCCGAGGTACATAACCTGGTTTGAAGGTAACAATTTAATATAAGATGGGCACAGGTTGTGCAGCACAAATCCCTGAGAGTGAGAGTCATCCACCAAATCCACAATCTTTCTAAATATAATTAAATGCTCTGTTTTGCTTCCTTTGCGGCGCCCAGCTTTCAACCATTCTCTCAAAGTCACACCATCACAGTCAGACCCACCAGATCTTGGTGCTGTAGCATTATGAGGAGACTTTGCAGTCTTTGAACCAGAGCTCAGTGATACATTAGAATCAATCTGAGTGCCAATGCCAGCCTTTATCAGATTCTGATCTCTAGACTCAACACATGAGCCATTAGAAGATGGACCTTTACACACAATACCCTTTCCCTTCAATGTATTTTTAATAAAATACTCGGCAAATCCTGATTTGGATATAATTTTCGTTCGTATTCCTCCACAAGCATCACCTGCATCCTCCTTGTGCTCAGCTTTATGTTCAACAGTTGTCAAGTGTTCCATGACATTGCTCTGATCATCACTGAGTGATTTTCTAGCTAATCTCTCTGGGAAAGATGTCGGCCCAATATCTTCCCGAACACTAGATGTAGCTTGAACACTATTTCTGTACCCACCATCACTTAGTGAATTTCCCATTGCTGAATCACCAGCTAGCTGATAAAGGTGCCGCCATTGACTCTGGCTATTATACATAGGCTCTCGAATGTTCGATGTACCAATATCTAGGCTTGAACCATTATAACTTTTCACTGTTAACTCTTCAACCATGGTACCAGCATCATCCAAAAAATGACTTGGACGCAGATGTTCTGACGCTGCGACATGGCCTGTGGCGGCTTCAACTACATTCTTACCTTGTGGGATCTGAGAGTAGTCATTATGTATTTCTTGGGGTTTTAATATTTTGTGGCATTCAGGGTTTAGTGAATATTCTTCATCTTTGTTCTGATATTGCACACCCTCATCAACCCCCAATCTGGTCCCCTCATCAACCAATTCTTCATCCATACTGTCAAAACTTATGGTTCCATATCCACTTGCACAAAGTCAGCACAAACTACCTAATTGACACAACAAATTTCCTCTCTAAGCAATTCAAGTTCTGCCAACCCTAAATTAGAGAGGAATAAAAAAAACTTAGCAACTACCGACACACCGTAATATGAATAATATGCTTCTTGAATGTTTCTAAAATGAAAAAAAGCAGTAATATAAGGGAAGAAAATATGAACAACGAACAACATATACAAGATGCATTGATGTTAATTAATCAAATACTGATAATCACAACAATTCACTAACCTGAAGAAAATAAAGAAATGGAAACTAAAAAGCTTCTCGGAGAGATAACAGTGTTAACGTGAATGGGGGCCGCGCTGCATCCAAAAGCTGTGAAACAGAAATACTTACTCGGAAGAAAGCGATTCTATGTGTAGGGATTCAGCTTTTTTGTTTTGGTTATGAAACTGAAAGCTTTGAACTTATACAGAAAAAGAGAAACAAACGCTCGGCAATAGCATCATCACCGAGGGCTTCATATAACTGTGTTCCTTCTATTATCCCACACCGGATAAAACCTTCCCCCTTTTAATACCCTCGCTTTTGTTATCTCCTCTCTTTATTCAATTGCCTATGGGTGATTTTCCAATTTACAAATCTGCTTTATTTCCATCCATGCTTGATTTTGGGTGTATTTTTTGCTTTTTAACTGACAGACAAATATAGTTTTTTTATAATTTTATTTGTAATAATAATAACCAACAAAAAACTGCCCCACTTTTTGCTATTTACCTTATCTCTCTTATTTTGTTTACCAACTTTCTTCTTTCCTTGTCAATTTTGTAACTATTTAACATAAACAAATAGGAAATAAATTGGAAAAAATAAATCTTATATTGCAAAAAAATTCTAATATCATGTTATAGATACATAAGTGTGAGATCCACTTATTTAAAAAAACAAAAAACAAAAAAGAGTGGCACATTTTTTTATGATTTGTGTAGGAAAAATTTATTTTCTCACATAACATGAAAAAATAAACCCCAAACAAATATAGATAAATTAGCGAAATAAAAGTAAAACAAAATATAGCTCAATTTATTTACCAAAAAAAAAAAGTATAGCTCAATTTATGCGTCTACAATTGATTTAAAATCGTGCGTGCATCATGCGAGCATAAATTAATTTTATGAATTTTCAAGGTTATTTTTATTGGGATAGATTATTTTACCTACCATTTTTTTGTCTACCTCTATCTATCACCCTCCAACACCGTTAGATCAGAATATTAACTAACATTTTTTTTTCTCATTCTGATCTAACGGTATTGAAAAGTGGTAGTAGACAGAGGTAGGAAAAAAAATGATAGGTAGAATAATCTATTCCATTTTTATTTCATATATTAATATCATAAAATTGCTTAACAACTTACAAAATTTCAACTTCTTTTACCGTTAAATTTTCTCTCGGAGCATGTCATATCAAGACTTGCATCCACAAAATCAAATAAAATTTAACGTATCAATAATTTTTTTATTTATAAGAATATAAATTACATAAGTCCAAGTTTAAAAGAGATATATCTATATATTTAATAATACTAGAATAATAAATTAGATGTTTCAAGTAATTAATAATATATTATAATTAATTTTTTTTTAATAATTACTCTTTAAAAAAAATACTATATGTGCATAACACTTGACAATATCTTACTATACATAATATAATTTGTATGATATGATACGACTCACAAACTTAGCAATACATATCAAGGGGTGTATAGGAAAAGAGTTGTATCCGACCATACGATATTGTATTATGTACTATACGATAAGAAATTAAATGAAAATTTATAATATTTAATATAAAAAAATAAATAAAGATTTGATGTGTGATTTAAATTCAAAAAAAAAAATCTACAAAATTTATTATTAATAAGGAAAAGAAAATAAAGATATGATTTGTAATTCAAATTCAAAAATTAATCTGAAAGATTAGTATTAATAGATAAAATAATTAAATTAATATATATTTTGTTATGTATATATTTATTTTTTAGGTCTTCAAAATTTTAAAGACTATAGAAATGATAAAAGTGATGTCATCTTCATATAAGAACAAGATAATGTCATTCTCTCCAGTACCACCTTTAAGAGGAGTTTAAAGCATTAATCCTGGACCCACCCAGAATCGGATTAGTTGCGAAGCAATAAATCGATTGGAATATTTTCAAAAAAAAAAAAAAACAAGATAATGTCATCTGGCTTGATAAGGAAAAAAGACCGTTAAATTGTTGAACAAAAAATGAAAAATGCGTAAAATGACTACACTAATGAAAAAGATGGTGGTTTAATTATGTTAGTGATAGATGATGATAGTGATAGTAGTGATAATATTAGTTTTGATGTTTGATGAGTAGAAAAATAATTGGTTGTACTTCAGTTACTTATGTATTTTGCTGATTGGATCATTTTTGGAATTGAAATTTATATGATAGCGAGGATATGATATATTTTTAAATTATATTTTTATAATATTTCTGTATCTTACGATTTGATATGATTCATGATATATGATACAAAAAAACTAACAAACGATACACAATACATACTTCGATTTAACAACTTGCTTGACATATATAAAAAAATTGCACTTATTTTCTCACTGCTAAATTTATTTACCTCATTATATTTGTAGTGTCACGTTTTTTTATATATAAAATGGGTTCGCTTTTTTTGCAGTACGCCCAATACGACGTTGTTTTCAGGCGAAAATCATGGTGTTTTGTAATTTTAATTTATTTCAGGGTTATAATAGTCTTTATATTTATAATTTTTTAAGATTTCAATACCAAAACGACATCGTTTTGAGAATTAATGCAGATAACTTATCTGTAGTAACTGCAGAAATATTTTTCCCATATAAAATATGGGATTATATTTTCTTATGCAACAGGAGATATGTTATCTCATGTTGCACTCACAATTTTATGTGGGTCCCATTGCACGGGAAAAGAGAAGAAAAAAATTAAAGTGGGACCCATACCTTTTTGAGTGTGTAGGAGAGAATTGATGTCTCATGTGACATGAGATTAATATTTTCCATAAAATATACAATCTAATGACTATGACATTTTTCATATAATTTAGAGAGTATCAAAATAACCTAGGGATTGAGAAAAAATACATTATAATAAAATTTATTATAATCTTAAAGGAATGAACAAATCCATTTTGTATATAAAAAAAATTGACTTTTTACTTTGTATGGCAAAAATGACATAATTATGTTCGTTCTGGTCGGCCCAATCAGTCGGCCTAATTTCTTCGGCCTAATGACAAGGGCCCATATAACCCCAGCTACACCACTCCAGCTGCAGTCCTATTGTGACAGTGCTAGAATCAGTGCTCCACCTATCAAATATCCAACTTAAGACACTAAATTAAAATATCTTATGTTGGGGCATTCACTCTCCCCTTTGTCTACTCAGACACCAAAATGCTTTACTAGGAACGCTTTCCTCTCACCTCCCCTACACAGTAGCCACCGTCAATATTGCAACAGTTGCAAAGTGCTTTGCCTTGCAAGGCCAGACTGCTATGACTCTTCTCCATAACAAATGACTTGGTCCATCCTCTCATTAAGATTGAGTCTAACCCTAACTATAAATACTCCCTCCTTCTTCAATATAAACGCACACAATATCACTATTTTCATGAGATGTTACTATGCTAACTTGAAGAGCCAGTATAACCCTTCAATACCACTCTTTATTGTTGTCCACTGCAATTGGGTCTCCCTTACCGAAATATTTTTAATACTATTGTCGCACCGTTGATTGGGTGCGACAATCCAATAAAAGTGCCTCGTTTTCTGTGTTATAGGTATGGATTAAAAAAAAGATAAAAGAAAAATCCAGGTGTAATTTTTTAAATCGCAGTTGTATATGCCACGGTTGTATAGAAAGTGTTCTCCTCGCTTACATAACTTTGGTCCGTACCATTACTCACAAAGGCATCCCTATAGAGATTACTTTACCTCTTGATTTTACATACACGACTCTTTCACCTCTTCAATGTCATTCGAAATTTTTCCTCCAAGATTTTCATATTTTAACTTTGGTTTAAGTATAAGTTTAATCGGTTTTTAGTTATTTACTGAACGTACAGTTTAATGTTTTCAACTTTTACCTTTTTTATTTTTCCCCTTTATTCCAATTCACTCCACAAAATAAGAAATGGTAGCAGAAGATCCACGTAGATGGCGTATGGAATAGTGCACCCGCAAAACTGCAGGCGATGATTCTCTCTTCACGTCCACTGATTCATGATATTTCCCTCTTCTATACACTCTTTCATTTTGGTCCAAACTCTAGATCGCATTATATCAGCACTTGTCTATGGTGGCAAATATGCCACGTCATAATTCTGTTTATATATCGAAAAAATACTTTTAAAAAATAATGTAGTTATTTATGATGGTTTTAGCCGACCAACCTCTCTTCCCTCTCCTTTTTCTCCATAGATGTCTCTCTCCTTTCCACCCTCATTCTCACAAATAACTCTTCCTTTCTCATGTGCACTTTGATCTATCATGTTTCTTTATAATTTTTCAATTTCCAAAGTTTATGGAATTTTTTTTTTCTGATTCTCTGTTAGTATTTTCTTATTCTAAACACAACACGAGCTATAATTTTTGAAAAAAAATTCATACTTAATTGAAGCTTGAGGCAAATCAATTTGGTTCTTTACATTGTAAGTCAATAATACAAATTCTTCTTGTATGAAGTATATGAGATACTATTAATTGCCACATTTCAAGATTGTAAAAATTGTCTGTTGCGGATTGCATTTGTTATTATCGAATGAGGGACCTTAGATGTTTGGTCAGTTTGGAGGTGACTCTTGGCAAACATACATCAAATGCGGCCCCAAAATACTAAAAGTTTCAAATCCACACTTTGGTTTGCAACTCCAATAGCCTATAACGGGTATTGTATTCATCGCATTATTAGCAATTTCATTCATTAATTCAATAATATAAAATTAAAGTGACATTTATTGCAATTAGATAATTGCTCTCGGTCTTAAGTTGACATGTTTTCTTGTAGGTAATAACTAGCATAATTGTTATTGTATGTAGGATATACACAAGCGAGGTCTGGGAAAAAATACCATGAGAAGCTGCTTGACGTCTGTCAAAAGAAAAATCGCATGGGAATTTATTACACAATATTTCCAAATTATGTGAAATATTATTATATAATTTCTGATTGTATTAAATATTAGCTAGAATTATTTTCTAATTATATGAAATATTATTAGTATTTTTTCCATTTAAATCTTATTTAATTAAATATGAAATATCGTTCATTCACTCGATTATTAAAGATGTGTTATAATATAATTTAATCCTCTCTCTTTTTCTTTTAGGGATACACACAATAATGAGTGAAGTATTTAAAGACCTAAATTTTTTATTATATAATAATAAAAGAATTAAACTTTTTATCATATATGTGAAAAAAAAATTAAACATCAACGACGCGTCGTGACATATATGACCTTGA